TTATTTTATTTTATTTTATTTTATTTTATTTTATTTTATTTTATTTTTTCCATCGCAGCTCTTAAAACAGAAGTACCATGTAATTTGGGGCCAAATCTCAAATCTCAGTTTTGGCCAAATCTTCCACCTGATGGCTCAGCCCCGGCTTTCCTTTGGCGTCTCTGACCGTCCCCTTCTTCCCACCCATCCTTGGCTCCAGGGGCTCCCCACCACACTCTTCCTTAACTCAGTTTAGTCCCCGGGCAAAGGGAAGACGCCCACCAGGGAACCGGATGTGGAGCTCTCCTCTTGGTTCTGCCACTCACCCCCAGGCTGGGCCTCAGTTTCCCCCGTGTGGAGTGAAGGATACAGCCAGGGGATCCGTGGGGTTGTTTAGCTCTACAGGTAAATCTCTGCAGGCTGTGAGTGAAGGTGGGGCCTGGAAGTCACCAAGGGATTCATAGGAAGTCTGCGTCCCCAAAGACACACCGTCTCTCTGCCCTCCTCCGCGTGCATCTACCTCTGGCCGCAAGACATCTCTAGTCGTTAAAAATAAACACAAGCCAGAGCCGTCCGGAGGGAGAGGGGGCCATTTCTGTTGCGGGCACTGAGCTGGAGTCTAATCCGGGAAAAGCACACAGAGACGTGGCTTGGCCCATCCAAGCCGGCCTGACCCCAGAGATGTAGGTCGGCCCTCGAGACGGCGGCATGGGAGGGTTCCAGGCCAACACCACAGAGCGGGCGGTGCGTGCTCAGATGACCAGGACCGGCCGGGTTTGGTGGAGGGCGAGAGGCGCGTGGCCCCAGGAAGAAGCGGGCTGCCACCACGCAGGGGACCAACCTGCACCCACCACCATCGCTGTCCTGAGTGGCCGGGCTTGGGGCACTGGGGACAAGCTCAACAGCACAGGCAGGATATGAAGACGGGGCAGGGAGCAGGCAGTGTCGAGGAGGGCCAAACATGCTCTTGACCGTGTCACTGGCCTGCTAACAGCCCTCCTTGGCTCCCTGCTGTCGAGTGGATAAAATCCAGACTCCACGGGCTGGCATGCAAACCCCCTCTCCCCGACGCTGACCCCGGGGTGACTCCTCCATTCCGCCATCCCTGGGCTGCCCGCCCGCCCTCTCGGGGCCTGGGTGTCAGCCTCCTAGACGGCTCGCCGCTCCACAAACGTGCCAGGTGCTCCCGCTCCACAGTGGCCTTGCACGTGCCCTGCCCGGTGCCCGAGACACCCTTCCCATCCCTCCCCAGCCTCGACTTTATCTCCTCTTCGTGGAAAACCCCTTCTTGTTCTTTCAGACCCTCACCTGATGTCCCTTTTCTTGAGACACAAGACCCGAGCTGGTATCTGACGAGCTGCCTGTGGCCTGCAGAGGGGAACTCTGTATTCACAACAAACGGGCACACGAAGCTGTGCTCCAACAGAAGCGAAGTGGTCCCTGTCATCTGGGAAGGGCATCCCCACCCAATCCCCGTAGTGCCACTTGATTCTCAGCCTGTGGAGTGGGAAGGAACCCCACAAGTGACCAGCAGGCCCCTGAGGCTCAGAAACCTCGGGGGACTTGTCCGCGGCCACACGGTCACCGGCTAGCCATGTCCCATGCAAGGCTGGCTCTACGTTCCAGACGCCGCACGCTGGACTCCCAGTTCTGACTTCGTTTGCCTGTCTTCTTGCCACCCGCCTTGTCTTCTCAGGTGATACTCTCACTCCTTGAGGGCAGGGCCTTGCCCGGGTGCCATGGAGTCCCCTACAGCACGGAGCTAGGTGTTCAGCGTGCAAGTCTAAGGGTTTCCAGACAAAGACCAGGACTCAGCAGTACGGGGACAACAGAGAGATGGGGGCCCTATGGCGCTCCCCAGAGCAGCGTGTCTGGACAAGTGAGAGAGAGGCCAGTGGGCAGCCTCGGGTTGGCGGGGCGAGGCCCCCCCCACCCCGTGGTAAGGGGGGCGGGGGTCACTGGACGGTGTGGAGAGAGGGATGCATTGAAGTCCCCCTGGCCAGAGCCCCGAAGAAGGAGCCATCACTGCAAGAGGGAATTCCCAATTCAGACCAGAACCCACACTCCCCCCGGCTCAGCTGGAGCCACGAGGCCCACTCTCCTGAGGAGAGGCTGGGCAGAAACAACGACTCCACGGTGGCCACTTGAATGTGTCCCTCCCTGGGGCTGTTGGCAGCCCGGGGTTGGAAAAGCCTTGGCTCTCTGGGAGGCTAGGAACCGAAGGTCCTCACAGACCAGAGACAGAAAGAGTAGAGAGCTGGTCCTCCGGTAGCCTTGGCCCTGGGAGTCCCGCATCGCGCTAGACCCTACGGAGAGAGGAGCCTCTCTCTCCACGGCCTTGGCCCCGCCCTGCTCCAGGGAGCTCTACACACATGGGCAGACAGCTCCTCACACTGAGCCAGCGTGTCAGCAGTTCTGGACACATGGAGAGGTCTGGATTTACCGAGATAGTCTGTAAGGAGAGCCAACGGGAGGGGGAAGGAGATGCCTCTGAGGGGCCCACCGGGGCAGCAGCCTGGGCGCCCGGCCATGCAGGGAGCTCTTAGCAGGCTGCATTCCTCACGTGCTGCGGGGAGCTCCCCGGTCAGGGGCAGGTGGACCTTTGCACTTGCTCCTGCCCTGTCACCAGCATGGATCACACAGAGACTCGGGCTCCAGCGGGGGTCCCAGGTCCAGCCGTTGCCAAGACACCTGCCAAGAGAACAACATGCCCCAGATCCACGTGGGTCCAGCAGGGTTCTCCACAGCCACTCCCTGGCCGGGCCTGCCGGGCCCCGCACCTTTGACCCCAGCTCCCCTCTCCCCCTTATCTCTCAGGCTGAGGTCCTCCTGGATCACCACTTCCAGATACTCGCACAGACCGTTTCCCCCACTTGGATTAGGATGGCCAGGTATAATACAGGATGCCCAGTCACCTATGAATTTCAGATTAACAATAAATGAGTGTTTGGTATAAGTATGTCCCACACAATACTTGGGACATACTTATACTGAAAACTTATCCAAAATGTAACTGGGCAGCCCGTATTTATCTGTTAGATTTGGCAACCCTAACTTGGACGCCTTGTCCCTCCAGCCCAACCCCAATGATAGGTGCTCTTCCCCATACCTACTGGGTGGGGCCTGCTGGCTTTGCCTCCCCAGGGCCTCTGCCTTTTATCTTAGTCCAGTTTAATTTTTTTTTTTTTCTCAACATTTATTTATTTTTGGGACAGAGAGAGACAGAGCATGAACGGGGGAGGGGCAGAGAGAGAGGGAGACACAGAATCGGAAACAGGCTCCAGGCTCTGAGCCATCAGCCCAGAGCCTGACGCGGGGCTCGAACTCACGGACCACGAGATCGTGACCTGGCTGAAGTCGGACGCTTAACCGACTGCGCCACCCAGGCGCCCCTATCTTAGTCCAGTTTATCTGCTGCTATGTAATGAACGACTCTGAAGCTTTCTGCCTTAAAGTATAAACGATGCTATTACACCTTGCGGTTTCGTAGGTCAGGGATTCCGGAAGGACTCAGCTGGGCGACTCTCCTAAGTCCACCTGGTGTGGATGGAAGTCACTTATGTGGTATTCAGCTGGTGGACGGGTCCATCTGAAGGGCCTGTGCTGACTGCATTCACATGGCTGGTGCCTTGGCAAGAATCCCTGGGAGGCAGAGCTCAGAGGGGACTGTCCCCCAGAGCACCGGCATGTGGTCTCCATATGCTTTGGGCATATGCTTTGGGCTAGTCCGACTTCTTCCATGGAAGCTCAAGGCTCCCATATAGAGTGTCTTGGGAGGCCCAGGGAGGCTGCCTGCAAGGCTTCTTATTGCCCAGCTTCAGAGGCCTCAAACTTCTGCCATGTTCTATTGGTCAAGGGGACACTCAGGCCAGCTCAGAGTCAAGGGTCAAAATTCGACTACACCTCTCGGCAGGAGGAATAGCAAAAAACACTACAGCATCTTAAACCTATCACAAACCACTCCTCTCCATCTCTGGCACATGGCCCCGGCTCCTACCCGCCTCTCTTGCCTATACCCTCTCGGGTCTCCTGACCAGCCTCCCTGCCTTTGCCTTCTCATGCATCCTTCTACTCAGCTACCATAATACTTCATTTTTCCAAGATGTCAGTCTGACCTTGTCACATTCATTACATAGGCATTTTCAGT